TTTTTTTTTTTTTATCCCGGCAGTCGAGATCGGTCCGCGAGTTGAAAGACGGGTGGCGTTTGTATATTTTGTTTTTTATGGGTCGGGCCGAGTTCGAATCGGCCTAAAACTCAATAACCCGACGGTTCAGGGATGGCCCGCCGGTTATAGACCATCAAGTCGTCACTTGGCCATATTTAATCAAGAGTTGTTCCAATATCCACACATTAATTAAGAGTTGTTTGTTTACAAAATCATTTTATACTCATACTAAGTTCATAATCAAAATCTAATTCTAACTTTTACTTAATTTTATTCTCTTCAATATTATTGATATCAAGAGTTTGACAACTGGTCCGGTCATCTAACCAGTAAAACTGCAGGTTCAATAATTCACTGATCGCACGAGTGGCTGAACCGGTCAGTATTCAATTTTAATTCAAATATCATGATATATTCATGTATTAAAATATTGTAATAAATTCATATGAATAAATATTGAGCTCAAATAGCTAAATGAAACAAGGCCAATTTACATGTACGCCGTAGTGATTTCAATTTATTTGGAATTATACCTTACTTAAAGTAATTATTTATATGTCCCTTCCCCTATATATTAATCCAGAAAGCGCTGAGCCTACGTGGCTGCTTTTGGTGCTTCGGAATCCTATATGACAAAATTACATTCTTCGTATTACGTTCGGGTAAATTTTAATTTAATTCCAAACAAAAAATAATTAGGTTGAGATTACCATTAATATGATTATTTATGGTCATGTTACATGTATTAACTGCATTTTAATATCATTCCTTGTTATAACTATTGAATTGTATATATATTTTAAAAGTTAATAACTTTTATATTCTTTATCAGTTTTATATATGTAATATATCAAATTAATCTTCTTTTGATGAGTTTCGATTTAACATCCATATTGTATGTATAAAAAAATAATTTATATTTATCTTTATAACAATAATAAAATTATTTTTAATATTAATTAGAAAAATAAAATTATTTATCAACTAATATATTTATATTTCAAGTAGTTATATGATATAAGTTATAAAAACTAATATAATATAACACATGTAAGTCATAAGTTTATATAGTAATATATATTTTTTTAAACAAAAGTAAACTAAATTTAATATAGTTTTCTCATTAATTTTAAAATTTAAGAATAATTTTTTAACAAGTACCCGTGTAATACACGGGTGTTGTACTAGTGTACAATATATGATAAACGAATCAAGTAATATTGACGTTCCATGCCAAAATCCACCTAACAGCCGAGATGCATGTTTATAAGAATAAATTGTACTACATGGTAAATAGATATACAATCACGAGATTAATAGTTTCTTAAAAATACACTACAAGAAAAACTGAATGGTTAATAAGTGTCGTCAAATGCAGTTTTTCTTGTAGTGATATGCATTTTTGAGTTTTGAAAATGAGAAGATTGAAGCGATCTCGTGGAAGAAGAAAAACAAAAAAAAAATGTTGAGAGCAAATTTGGATTGATTTGGTACAATTATGATCACTGTTAAAAGTAATTGTTATCTATGATTTATATATAATAACATTGTAATAGAATAGTTTTATTATTCTTTATCATAAGTTGTATAAGTGCTGATTGTAAAGTTGCTACTTAACAATAGCAACTATAGGACAATTGTATTCATATAAATACTGTAACCCTAATCCATTCTAAACACTTTACTTTTCCGCAGTTTACAGAAATAAGATCTAATGTTGTTTTCTCTCTCTCGTTTTTCTTCTGCTTTCATTGTTCTATCTGAATTCGATCGTAGATCTTGATATGGTATCAGAGCCGGCAATCGATCTACCGCCGTGCCGTGATTTCCGCTATACTCGCCTTTGTTCTATTTTTTTTCTGATTTTATCTCGAGATCTAATCTCTGGACGAAACCCTAGTTTCGATCCTCCTCTGATCTTTCTGTAGATCTA